GGGCGTGTGGCTGGCGAATACCCATCTGCTGTGGGTGGTACAGAGCCGGCTGCGCTACCCCCCACTTCTCTGGGGGGCCGGCAGCCCCATTCCAGGCCCTGTTCCGCTTCCTCAGACCTTCTGAGGAACAAACTCAGACAGAGGGGGCTGGAGATGTATTGCTTTTGGGATTGTTTATTGGCACAGATTTGGCACAGATTCTTCAGAGTAAGATTTCTCTCTCTCTCTCTCTCTCTCACACACACACACACACACACACACACACACACACACATACTTTGGATTTTGCCGATGGCTGGCGTCCGCTTCCCGGAGACTCGACAATGATGTTCCTTGGGAGATGCCTTCGGATCTGCAGGAGGCTTCACTCCCTCCGGGACGGTCCCAGGCTTCTGCTGGGATATTACGTCTTGGCCAGGAGAGAGAGAAATTTTCTGGCTGCTTCTCATTGAATATATCTGCTTGCAGAGTCTCTGCCTGCCTTAAAAGGTCACGGATGCGACACGGCCTTTTGGTTGGGTATTTCTCATTAACCATCCAACAGGTTACACGCATATTCCTGGGCTGCATGGTTTCTAGGTAAGTAACCAGACACCTCCAGCACATTGAGTTACTTGACATGGGAAAAGGACGTCATGTCAATACGATGGATTAACACACCGAAGACAGGATCTGGACGTCGCATAAATTGTAACTAAGGCTACGTCTAGACTGCAAGCCTCTTTCAAAGGAGGCTCTCTCGAAAGGCGTTCTTCCTCGTCAAACGCAGTTTTCCGCCTTCAAAAAAGTTGCCGCGGTCTTTCAATTTACTTTCGAAAGAAGGCAGCAGCAGTCTGGACGCAGGGGACGTTTTTTCGGACACACCCTAAGAGAGGTAGGGTCAAGGGAAAAGCAGAGGAGTATGTCCAGTCAGCTAGATGCCAGTGGAGGGGGGGTGACGGCACATCATCTGACTGGTTACAGAGCTGTTGATCATTACCCATTAAGCCTGACAATCTAGCCAGCTTTCCCAGGCCGTAGAACTGAAGGTTTTATTGCTTCTCGGAGATACAGCACGGGTTCGATGTAGACACTGCCCGTCCCCTGCCAGCCTTACTGCCCTGTGTGGGGGGGGGAGGGTTCACAGGCCCCTATACTGTTCCAGGTCTGCTTGCTTCATCCTCCCCACGCTAACAACCCCTTCTTCCACCCACCGAGCACTCACCCCCCGGTAGCCACCCCCTTCCTTTGTTCACACCCCTTCCCCCGGCCAGGTGAGAAATGGCTGGGCCCTGGCCTTCGCGCCTCCCCCAGGGACCACCCCCCGCTGGGCGGTGCTTACAGACACCGGCCAGTAGGGGTCACCCCAGCCCAACACGGCCACCAGTGACGGCCCAACCAGAGTGGATCCACACGAGGGTACAACCCCCCACTATAGCACGGGGTGGGGGGTGTCCAACTGGTTACAGGCCTCACCCCACATCGGCCCCTCCCCCTGGGGCACAGTGCAAAGGCAGGTGTGACCCCCCACGTGTCATCTCCAAAAGGGACCACTCAGCTCCAACTCCCCGGGCCAGGGCCGCCCGGGGCCGGGTGTACAAGCACGGGGAGCGCTCGGTTCTGGGCTGGGAAACACACAGGAAAGGGGGCTCCCCACAGCTCCCCTCCCGTCATGGATACACAAGAACTATTTCCCGAGGAGGGTGGGGGGGCTCTGGGCTGGGTTCCCGAGGGAGGGGGTGGAATCTCCACCCCTAGGGGTGTTTCAGTCCCAGTCTGACCAACCCTGGCTGGGCTGGTTGAGTTGGGTTGGTCCTGCTCCGGGCAGGGGGCCGGACTCGGTGTCTCCTGAGGGCTCTGCCAGCCCTGGGATTCTGGGATAATAGAGACACTAGATTGATGGCTTGTTACGACCATCTCTCCCCGCGTGGTCCTACAACTTCATCGCCCACATCCTCTTGATCGGTCTCAAACAACATGGGGGATCTCTGTGTCTCGTCCACCCCTCAACTTCCCCCCCTCCCCGATGCAGAGCTCTAGGCATGCACAGAGGCCACGGTGAGGGGTGCGTCCCGAATCGGATGCCTAAGTCTCACCTGGAGGGGGACACTGGTCCATGTCTTAGCGTCTCGGCTGTAAACCCTGCCTAGAATTGGGTGCCGACATTATTTCTTGGGACTAGAAGAAGTTCCTTTGTAAATGTTCTGCATGCACCTAGGATGGATTCACAACACACGGCACGTGGCCTCTACTTCCAGCTACCGCCCTTCCCCATGGGGTCGCGCCTGCCGGCCGAATTCTGCCCGGCTGCAAACCGTCTGCTCGGCTCAAATCTGGGCAGGGCACGAATCAGTCATTGGTGCGAATGCCTGGGCTGCCGTTCACACGCGGGACACTCTAGCAAGGAGAAACCGGCCATGACGACCACAGGGGGTTGTGTTTGGACACCCAGAAATCCTGTCTGTCTGTCTGTCTTTCACCAAAGCTGAACTCGGAGTGCAGGGGACTTGGTTTCCACTGGGTGGCTCATGCAGAGCAGGGTCAGGGCAGCCACCTATGGGGTGCGGGGACTGTTGAGACAGGCACCCCTCTAGTATTGGGGAAAAAGCAAAGCAATTTGCAACGTTGACACTGGCGATCCCCCACAATGCTGAAAGGAGACGGTGGCTGTGAGCGGCGCAGGGGTTGCTGAATAGCAGCTCGCCAGGGGTTGGAGCCAGGGGGCAGCCGTGGCTCCACTGCAGGTAGCAGGAGACTCATGAATTCTAATTGGTGGCAGCGGTGGGATCCATGCTGGGAGTTAGCTCCAGGCTGGGCTGAGGCTGCACCCAGTGCCCACTGCTGGCCTCAGGGCCCCCACTTGATGGCCCAGGGTAGCTTGTGGGTGCAGGGATCCCTGGGAGGTCAGAGCCCAAAGACGGCAGGGCCCACACTGCAGCCCAGCAAAGCATTGGCGGCTTCCAGGCACTCGCTCAGCCAGGGCCCTGCAAGGAGAAGGAGATCGATGGGGAGACACCGGCCCAGGAAATGGGGAGCGACCAGGAGGTGGGGGGAGACACGAGCGAGGGGAACAGGAGGAGCAAAGAGCAGAGAGATCGCAGAGCGTGGCGGGACTGGCACGAGGGTCAGAAAGTAAAGGTGTCAGGGGATGAGGCATGGCGACCTCTGAAGGATGGTGGGATCGGGACTGGGATAGGCTGGGGGCAGAGGTGTGGGAGGCAGGGTGGGGTTCTGAGTTGTGGGGTTTCCATGGGGCAGGAGCTCTCCCGATGATACCCTGAGCCCCCTCCCTCCCCGCACACCCTCCTACCTGCTCGATCCTGCACCCAGACCACAGCTTTTGCCTCCAGCAGCTCCCACTCGTCGCGCTGCCCCGCGGCCCGGCCGTGCAGCCAGACCACGGCCAGCACCGTGGCCCAGACGCCAGGGACCACGTCCTGTGGAGGAGAGACAGTCTGAGACAGGGCGGGTCTGGGAACCTCCCTGCCCCCCATCTCTGCCCTCCCCCGCACTCACCTCACTGGGCATCCTCCCTCTGGCGTCTGTCTCACTCACCCCCAGCGCGACGACCAGCTGGGGCCCGAGGTCCCAGGAGCCATCGGCGTTCTGCAGGGACACCAGCCTCAGCAGGGGAGACTCCTCCGTTGCCTGGTCTGAAAAGAGAGATGGGGCGGGGACATGATTTCAGTATAGCGAGATGGCCTGTCCAAGTTGGGGACAGTCTACAACCTTAACTGTGACCGTCTATGTCACCTTAACTCTGCCCCTCAATGGGCATCCTTTACCTATTCCTCTGAGCCCTAATGCCGCATTCATGGGCATGCTTTATCTGGATCTCTGCAGCACTGACCCCTCCATGGACACCCTTAACTCTACCCTGTCCTGCACCCATGGGATGACAATATTCAGAATTAGACCCCCAACTCCCTTGGGTCCCTGTGAATGTCCTAGCCTCAGCCATTAAGCCCATAGCTCCAGGGTGAGTCTCACACACAATCTGACCATGGGACCATCCTCCACTACAACCTGCAAAGGACACTTCCTTCCAGGGAAAGACATGAGCCTGTAAGGAAGTAGGGGAGATGGGATGTAACAGTGTGTATAGGATATAGCCATAGATGGGCCAGGATTATGGGGCAGAGTTAAGGTTACCTGGGCTGCAGTAACCAGACTCTCCAATTCAGATTTTAAGGGGAGTCTAAACTTCCAAATTTCTGCCTTTCCTGGCCTTCTTTGGTTATGAACCGGACGGTGCCCACAACGATCTGTGCCCCATAACTCAGGTGTACCCATGTCCTACCCTAAGCCCAGTTTCAGCCAAGTTCTTTGCCAGGAATTTCCACCAGTGTGTCTGAGAGAAAACAGCAGGGGAGTCCCTCCTGAGCCGGCACAAACTGGCACCCTGCATCCCAGCTTCTCGCCTGGAAGCTTCCGTCTTATTTTTTTATTCATTTCGTGGCAAGAGGACTTGTGTCACCTCACGTCAAACCCAACCCGTTAAGGACGCCCCTATCTCCTTGTTGTCAAGGCCAGGAATTTCCACCAGTGTGTCTGAGAGAAAACAGCAGGGGAGTCCCTCCTGAGCCGGCACAAACTGGCACCCTGCATCCCAGCTTCTCGCCTGGAAGCTTCCGTCTTATTTTTTTATTCATTTCGTGGCAAGAGGACTTGTGTCACCTCACGTCAAACCCAACCCGTTAAGGACGCCCCTATCTCCTTGTTGTCAAGGCTGTTCTTCAAAGAATTTCCATCCGCCCCCGATCCTGACGTTTGCCCCCCAGTTCTGACGCCCGGTGTCCCCCCCCCACCTTTCTGGGGTGCAGGCTCTGGCAGGGCCCCCGGGTCGGAGCTCTTGCTGCCATTGTGTTGCGGCCGTCCCCAGAGGCGCTGTGGGATGCTGCGGAGCCAGGACAGACACTTCTGAGGGAGCTGAAGGCCCAGGCTGGATTTGGTGTGCGGTTGAAACGCACTGGCATGGCAGCTGTGCTCCTCAATCAAGTTATCGTAACTATCCGTGATCTCCAGTCTCTCCAGCACGTTATCTCTTTTCAGGATGGGAGACCAGTCGACCACACAGATGTCGTTCGACGGCACCAGGGACACAAAGCGCCGCGAAGGCATGGAGAACGGTGGCACGGAGGCTGATGGACGGACAGAGGGACAGACATATGCACCCACAGAGACAGACTCGGGGGAGATGGAGAAATCCCAGCCCCGCTCCGATACTCAGAGCTCTGGAACCCCTCCCCCATACTCTCCAACCCCTTTCCCCCACCCGCCCCATTCTTCTTCCCATTGGGACCCCTCCTCCAGGCCCAGAGGATGTGGGGGGCAGGGGCTGTGTCCCATGGATGAAGGCAGGATGCTGGGGGGGGAAAGGCCCCTCCTAACCAGACTCATGACAGTGATGGGCCTGTGGCCATCTGGCAGG